AATGGAAATCTTAGGCTCAGTCATGGTCATAAGTTGAAGACTATCTGTAATAGATAACCAATGAGTGAAATTGTCACCTTGTGCAAGAAAGTAAGCAAGTATAAAAAATTTAATGCATACCTGTGTCAGGGGACCCCCATCTCCTTTTGAGCTGGAATTTACTGAAATTGTCAGTTTAAGGTGTCCACTTTGTGCCTGCACAAAAAAAAAGTCTTTGAATTCAACTCTCTATGACAGTGATGGCTAACCTTTTTGCCATTGCGTGCCAAAAGTGGGGGAGTGTAGGGTGATCGCGCACATGCATGCCCACACCCATAATTCTATGTGCCCTGCCTCCCCGCGCATGCGCTCGCCAACCCCCGTGCTCCCCCCCACTTTTGGCATGTGATGGCACGGTGGGCCCAGTAGGTCCGTTTTTCACCCTCCCCAGGTGGGCAAACCCTCCCTGGGGAGGGCAAAAACAGCCTTCCCCACCACCCTGGAGGCCCTCCGGAGGCCGGAAACAGCCCGTTTGCCGACTTCCGGTGGGCCCAGAAGGCCCAAAAATCAGCTGGCCAGTGTGTGCATACATGCTGGAGCTGAGCTGGGGCAACGCTCACATGCCCACCAATATGGCTTTGCGTGCCACCTGTGGCACGCGTGCCATAGGTTCGCCATCATGGCTCTATGAATTATTGGCTCATTGCTCTGGGTGAACAAACTAAAACATGGTTTGTGGCCAACAAGTCTTCTACCAGGCTCTTCAATTTAGAGACCTAAATTGACCTAAGCCTCTTCACCACACTTAGCCCTAAAAGCTTTCAGTATAGCCTCTGGAATCCTTCCAAAAGTTGCTATTAAATGTAAGTTTTGATGTGACATAACAGGAATATTATTAACTAAATGTGAAAGAATCAACTCACAGTTAGATTTATTATTCATCATTTACTTCATAGCTTACCTGTTCTGTTAATTTTAATCACGTTTAAACAGAAAATAGATCTAATCTCTCCTGATTCTTCCCACTTTTTGCCTTTTGGAATATCTACTTTGCTGCTTTCCATTTTTAGAGCACCTCAATTCTAGACTCAATTCTAAAACTGTACCTCTGTTGGAAAATAGTTTTGCACTCCTGAATTAGAGAAAGTTAATATTAATTTGTGGTATTCTAACCACTTCCAATATTCCCCCCAAAAAACCACAAAACCTAAATACTTATGAAAAGCTAAAGTTCTGATATTCTTAAAACTATTACGATGCTGTTCCAAGAACTGTGAACGGAATGCAGTTCTTTTCAACACTAGCCTCATATTCCTGTAGGAAGTGATCTCTGCCTTGTCTTGTTTCCCAGGTGTATTTTTTAAATGAAGTGTTGTGGCTATATGGAGTCTTTCACACACTCTCTGTTAAATTATACTTGTTAGCAACATGCCATGGGAAAACCCACCTCACTTTCCAATAGCAAGTCAACAGACTTAGAGGAGGTGTTCATTGCTCATAGTCTCCATGGATAAGCCCTTTCTGATAAAAAAACCCTGCGAGGTGAAGTGCAGAGAACTTCATCTGGCATTGCCAAGCTCGAGAAGACAAAAAGCAGTTGTAATGTGTCAGCATAGCAAAGGCCTAAACTGCAGCAGCCCACAGGAAAACTGTCTTTTGCCGTACATTTCACAGCTGTCAGTTCTGCTTCTCACAAGTGCTTCTCATGTCTTGATATCTGGAAAAAAAATGCTTTCTTCCTGAAAGACTGCTTTCTTCTTATTCAAGTTTTTAAGTCGTAGATTTAGTTGAAGGAATTTTTATCAGCCTTTGTGCCTTGAGATCCGTATGGGGTATGCTGAACAGATATAGATAGTCCTCAATTTACGACCGCAATTAAGCCCAAAGTTTTTGTTCCTAAGTGAGACAGTTGATGTGAATTTTGCCCCGTTTTATGACCTTTTTTTGCCAGTTGTTAAATGAATCACTGCAGTTGTTAAATTAATAACACAATTGTTAAGTGAACCTGGCACATGTGCCAAAAGTGACCTATCAGTGTTTGCCAACACCTGATAACTATTCTCAAAAGCATGCCCTGTTCTCAGGTAACGTTTGGAGGCTGCCATGGCCATGCAAGAACGGGGAGGGGTGCTCTTATGCAGTCCCTGGACCTTCTGCAAATTGCACAAGAGAGAAATCGCACATTGTGCTCGCATAGTGTCTGGAGCCTCCATAATTATGCAAGAATAGGGCGTGCTTTTGCATGGTTTGCAGAGGCAGCAGAAGAGCATTCTCTGAAGCCATTTGAAGAACAAAGGTCTCATGAGACCTGGAACAGCCTCAGGTAGGCTGCACCCTGCCTGAAGGTATGTGGCATATGGCAGATCCTGGGGAACAGCGTGAGGCAGTCTTTTTGAGTGGCAATGCTGGCACTAGGGCTGAAATCAAGGCCCGGGCCTCTATTTTAGGCCCAGTGTCAGTGCTGCCAAGTGCTGCTGCTCAGGTGGTGGTGGTGGAGAATTGTTTCTTTTTTGTTGAGGGGGGTGAGACTCCTGCAGAATCAAGTTGGGCATTTTCCAAATTTTTGACGTACTGAGCCCATCATTGTCTTAGACCCTGTTTCTCAACCTTGGCAAGGACTTCAACTCCCAGGAGAATTCTGGGAGTTGAAGTTTACACATCTTAAAGTTGCTAAGGTTGAGAAATATTGGTTTAGAGTATTGGACCCAGACTGGGAATTATATACATTTTCACACTCACACTCATAGACATCACTGAGATTATTGCCAGAAAAAGGGGTTCCTATAGAGTCGTGGATCGGCTTAAAACTGCAGGGCCTCTCACCACAATTAGGTTTTCACCTCCTGCTTCTACTATTGATGTCTCCTCACTTCTTAGTGCCAAAGTTTTTCAGACAAAATCATTCGTAGTTACATATTTTATGTCTTCCTTCTGTGAAGAGAAACAGCTTTTCTGTTTTCTCAGGAAGATATTGGCAGAAGACGAACTAAACAGTGTTTTTTGTTCATTTTATTTTTGTAAATAAAAGATTTTTCCATGGGAGAGATCACATTTCACAAATTTTTGGCTGCATCTGACTTCTAATTTCTAAAATATTTCTCTACAAAGAAAACCACAGAGTCTTCCTATGTTTCAACTGGGCCAAAATTTCATAGCTAACAATTGCATCTTTTTCTTCTACTTCCAAGTCAGCAGCGATTTGATTTTTGTTTTTAATTGCTCCAGTGGGAGGAAAAAACCTTGGACATGACAAGCTTCCCAGTTTCCTTTAAAGTTGCCTGGACAACATAAAAAATGGCCATCCTGAATGACTGGGTCACTGGAGATTGCATCTGCATGAGCAACTAATTGGGTCAACTATGTTGTTTGATCACTGCCAATGTGTTCCAAGCTTGCTGTACTATTAATTTTTCTTGTAGCATTGTTAGCAGAAATTGCGTGCTCTTTATATAAATAAGTCTTCTCCAGCTTAGCACTTTCCAGCACTATTGGGTCTGCAATTCCCAAGACTAATGGGGAATTCTGGGAGATATAACCCAGAATGACTCCAACCTACAGAGGGTTCCACCAAAATAACTCATGTTAATAGTTACAGCTGTCCAAAGGAGCAAAGGACATGCAAGCTGTGTGTTCTCAGTTGCCCATAGGGACAGTTTTCTTCCTCAAGAGTCCAAATGTGTGGCTGAAAGTTACCGTATTTATTTATATAATATTTGACCACTGGCTAGGAACTTGCCGAAATAAGCTGCCTAATTAGCTATCTTAAAGATAAAGGTTCCCCTCACACATATGTGCTAGTCATTCCTGACTCTAGGGGGGGGTGGTCATCTCCGTTTCAAAGCCAAAGAGCCAGCGCTGTCCAAAGACGTCTCCATGGTCATGTGGCCAGCCTGACTAAACACAAAGGCGCACGGAACGCTGTTACCTTCCCACCAAAGGTGGTCCCTATTTTTCTACTTGCATTTTTTACATGCTTTCGAACTGCTAGGTTGGCAGAAGCTGGGACAAGTAACGGGAGCTCACCCTGTTACGCAGCACTAGGGATTTGAACCGCTGAACTGACCTTTCGATCAACAAGCTCAGCGTCTTAGCCACTGAGCTACCAGTCCCACAAATCTACCTAGACCAAATTTAATTTTTCTGGAGTAGTTGGATTGTTGATATTCATCCTTCCTTCAAGCCCAGGCTTTCCAGATGTGGTGCACTTCAACTTCCATCCTACCCTGCCTTCCTGCCTGGGAACTTTCAGGAGAATGAGATTCTCAGCTAAAGGCACCCATTTTCTTCTTTATATTTTAGGAGATGAAAGTGACTGCTGTAGCTTGGTTTTAAAATTTTTAAGAAATAAAATAAGATAAATAACCAATAGTTCCTACACTATATTCTACCTTTCACTTTTTGCAAGGAATCTGAATTACGAAGGCAAACCTGACAACAGGAGAGCGTGTCTGCTTCTCTCACCTTACAGCTAGTGTTTCTTGAAAAAAAATATTGTGTCAATTCATACTAGGATGTCATCAAGGGAAATACTGTATAGAAGAAACAGAAATCAGTAACAGACAAACTGGATATTTGATCAAAGCCATGGTTTGGACTACTAATGATGCTTGTGGATGATGGGAGTTGGAGTTCAACAACAACGGTGAGTGCTAGGGTGGGGAAAACATCTTTAAAAACTTTCCCTCCTTAATTGTAATTGTTTTGTTTTTTTACACATCACATACACTGAATTATCCCACTCTTTTAAAAGAGAATTCTGGCTGCAGCTTTAGCCTACTTTAAAACAAAGCCGTGTGATTAAATTTATTCTTAACCTTCCCAATGTATTCATTACTTATCTGAAAGATGTGATTTCTCTGTTAGTGCTGATAGGAGGGATTATCAAATACTGAAAAAGATTAAAGGGTCATCAATGTAAAATAGATTAATAAAACAATGGAAATTGACTGCTATAAATACATTAACAAATTGCACTGCACATGTAGAAGAAAAGCTGTAGAAAAAAAAAGTCTGAGAAAGAATAGAAGTAGCTTGGGCTTTAATTATAGCAATATCAAGGAAAAGCGCCTTTGTTGTCATGCTGTAAATAAATTATAAATACATTGTACATTAGTATGCTTTCTTGCATATAAAGTATATTCTTGCTCCTGTTTTCCTTCAGTTGCTTTAGCTAATGGTACTTTCACATGAGGCTTTTATTTTGCACTCCAACTGTTTCATTCACAGAAATTTCACAGGGATCCAAACATTGGCATCTTCCATTTACAACTTTACCATGTTTTTCCCAAGCTGTTCACATCTTTTTTTTCTTTCCATTGAACACCTATTAGAAAGAGAAAGGTGAATAGCTGCAGCATACTTTGAGTGCTAAGAGAAGTCTGATCACAGATGGAAAAATTTAGATTTACTGGCAGAAGCATCTGGAAAGGGTCAAAAAAGTCAAGATGATGTTGCAACATATCATAGAAGCTCCTCCCTCCCCCCCCCACTTTTTGATGTGTGTTTGGTGCACATGCAGCATACATAAAAAGCAACAGTTCTGCTTACATTGCCAGGGCTGCCATCTTAGCTTTTTTTGACATTCCCTTCCATGGATCCCCTGACCACAGGCTACATATGGCTCATGGAACCCTTGCTATACAGGTAACATTCATTTAGCAACCACAATTAACATCAGCAGCTCTGTCATTAAGAAGGAAATCACTTGACTGTGACTGTACTTTCCTTTTTCCCATTTCTGTCCTTTGGAATGCTCACGCCAGCGCTGGGATAATTAGCAAGAAGGGAATTAGTGTTTGTATTTACGTTCATTGGAGAAGGGATTACAAGAGAGTAGGCAGGCATACAAACTGGTGGGGAATATATGTTTTTTTTAGCTCTTTTTAGCTTTTTAAGTGTAAATTGGGTTTTAATTGGATTGTTTTAAATTGTGGGCCAAAGCTGTATAATTCTTTTAATTGATTTTAAATTTTGTATTGGTATGTTTTTATCTTTGGCTGTGCACCGCCCTGAGTCCAATAGGAGAAGGGCGGTATATAAATTGAAATAATAATAATAATAATAATAATAATAATAATAATAATAATTCAAAAGTAATGCAATGGCACTAGCAGCACTGAATGAATTCAGGGCTGGGAGCTGAATGCACTCTATCAGAACAGTGAGTGTGTTCCCCATTATAGGCATGTAATTCTTTTCGTCTCCAATCTTTCTGTCTCCAATGTTTCAAATGTTCTGTGAGAGAGGAAAAATGGGTCAAGCACAGGAGAGATTGCCTACAGAGAGTACTTGGGTCTCTCTCCTCCAAGCAATCTTTCCACTCTGGGATGAGAAAAAAACAAAAAACAAAACAAAAACGAAGGCAGTAGACAATCTCTCCAATGTCTGAGCAGTTTTTTCCTCCCTCTCCTTGCAGAGCACAAATATTGGAGAGAAAAGGATTACAGGAGAGTAAGTAGGCACAGAAAGGGAAATATACCAAGCTGTTTGTTTAGTGTGGTTGCAGCTCCCAGCTTCAAGCATACCTTTTGATATGTACTCCCACTGTGTGTCTGCTTCCTCTCTTCTAATGCATTATTTTCCAATCTGTCTTCTCCGCAAGGATGGGGGAAAAAAGGAACAGATCAGGCAGAGGGTAATACATACTAACTATAATCACATAACTGAGGGACACTGCAAAGGTCATAAATGCAGGCATTGACCTTGAAGTTATTTTTTCAGTAGTTATAGCTTCAAATGGTTGCTGAATAAGATAGTAAAACAGTAAACGAGATTTACCTGTACATTCCTGCATACCTACTAATCAACCATAATCTGGATATTGAGACAAGATTGCTCTTCAAGCAGTTAATGATAATCTCTCTACAACAAGGTAGTTCAAAACACAATTTCCTTGCTGTTATTAGCAGTCAGGAAATAGCCATCTAAAACAGGCCCAGAGTCTAATGCCATGCGGTACCAAAATCCAATGCTGTTCCCTCCTCATTCCTGGCTGAGTATGCTTTTCTCTGCCCACAAAGCATGCCCTAAACCTAAGATGAGCTGCAATTATCTGATTCTTGATGGTTCTGGCTCCACAACCCACATTTCCAATTTTCCCCAACCTCTTATTATCACATTAGAAAGTAATCCTGCATATGCAGACTCAAACAAGTCCCACTCAAGACTTATTTTGAGAAAAATGTGCACAGAATCGTGTCCTCCACTTTTCAGTGTTCTATCAACAACACAAATGTTCTCCTTCCATAATTACTCTGCTCCTTGAACTTAACTAAGATACTGGAGGAGATCATCAGTCATAGGACCTACTCTTTGTTGCATAAACCATGTGGTTTATGCATGTGGTTGCTTTACTTTTCTAGAAAGCGAGAGGTGGACTCAAAGGGCTTAAATACAGACCTGGAGCTCATGGGAAGATTTGAGCTGCTACTTGGAAGAGTGGAATGCGGTACAATGTGGTGAAGTCTTTGGAGGAATTGGGTGTTCACTGGAAGAACCTGCTGCTGGTTTTTGAAACAGAATAAAAGTGCAAAACTTGAATGGAGGATCCGAGCTTTCCAGAGATATGACTGTTTAATAAATTGGTGTGTGTTATCTGACCCTTCCAGAGGAAGAGAAATAAACAACAGGGCTACTGACATTTAGACGAGAGAGTGGCTGTCCCCTTTTTGCTGTAACTGAGTAGGAAACTAAGGGGGTGGGTGGGGTGAGCTAGTTAGCAAATAGCCCACAAGACTGCCTGGCAAATTGAAAAGTAGCAGAACTTTACCAGGAAAGGTGGGAGGGAGTGGCTATAAAGAAAATCAGTACCTTGGGAGCAATTACTTAGCCACAGAAAAAGAGGAAAATGGAAGCACAAACTGATAGATTAAGTAGAGACCTGCAGAGTCTGGTAAAGGAAAGGAAGTGCAAGCATTTAAGAAAAGCAGAGCAATTTAGGAAATAGAGGTTTTGTAATATGATCTCATATAAAATAGCTCACATAAGTCTGGTTAGTAAAATTCTGTCAAGGAAAGTGGTATTTGAGCACAGGCTTTGCATTAAAGACAATCCTAGGCCAAAGAACAAGAAGCCTTTCTGGTACAGTGGTCTAAGCACCCTGTTATTAACACAGCTGCTTGCAATTTACTGCTGGTTCGAATCTCTCCAAGGCTCAAGGTTGACTCAGCCTTCCATCCTTTCTAAGGTAGTTGAAATGAGGACCCAGTTTGTGGGGGCAATAAGCTGACTTTGTATAAATATACAAAAGTATGAAGGCTATTGCTTAACGCATTGTAAGCCGCCCTGAGTCTCCGGAGAAGGGCGGCATATAAATCAAATTTTAAAAAATAAAAGATAAAAAAAGAAGCAAGCAGATGATAAAGAACTCTGGTTAAGATTTTGGTCAGAAAGAGATTTGGGCTACTATTGATGAGAGAATCTATTGAGCTGTTAGATAACTTTCTATGTTCCTACACATCCTCCCACACTGTGTCCATGTACTAGCACTGCCTTCTCTAGTTTCCTGCAAAAGCAGAGACTCAATGGTCTAAGAAATTGCCAGTGTAGTCAATGCTAGTCCTTTTCTGAATTTGTACCTATTTGTCATTGTGTTTTTAAATTGTGGTCAAGTACTCCAAAAAGGGTCTAAAGCAGGGCTGTCAAACTCGTGGCCCGCGGACTGGATGCGTCACATGCTGGCCACGCCCACGTCCAGTTTAGCAAAGAGGAAAGAAGTCGCAATATGTCACGTGATGCTGCCATGACGACCCGAGTTTGACACCCCTGGTCTAAAGTCAAAGTAGAGTAGAACAATTACTTTTTGCAATTTGGATTCTGTTCTACTGTTAATGCTTCCCAATATAATATTTGACTTTTTAACAGTTGCATCAAATTGCTGGCTCATTTTTAACTTATGGTTGACAAAGATATCCAGGTCCTTTCTGGATATTTGTAACAAGCCAGATTTCTATGTTTTTCCTTATATTTTCCTACCTGAATTTGATCCCTACATTTCTCCTTGATAAATTCTATCCTATTAATTTCCATCAACTTCTCAAATCCATCTGGATAATTTTGAATTTTCTTTTTCATTGTTGGCAGTTTTGTGCCAACTGCAAACTTGGTAAGTATCTGCTTCATTCTGCCATCTAAGGCATTACAAAAAATGTTGAACATCACAAGGCTAAGGAACGAGCTCTGTGGCTTTTCACTTAATTCTTCCTTCCAAGTTAAAGTAGAACCATCAACGAGCACCATATTGACATATTCAATCAGTTTTCTAACAGTAGCCTATCCACCTTATTTTACCATTTTATAAAGACTATCATGGAACATTATATCTATGGCAATTTGCTGACAGGCCTGTTGTTTCTCACGTTCTCCTTCCCTTTTCCAAAAATAGCAATGACATTTGTCTCCCACAGTTTTCTGGGACCTCACAGTCTCAAAGATCAAAGTTCTCAAAGATTTCCAGTTGTTGTGCAATCACCTCAACTTCAGCCGACCCCAGGTGTTCCTTCAACATTGTGGAATCTAATTCATCCAGCCCTGGAGATTTGGAATTCGTTTAAATTAGCTAAGTTCTCTCTGACCTTATCTTAAGCTGTAGTTCCCTCCTCACATAGTGGCAAAATCACAATCAACTACATCTCCATTTTCTTTCTGAAAAAAACAAATGCAAAATATGAGATTGCCAGTTCTGCCTTAGTGCATCCTATTTGGCTACTCAGCTACCAACTACCAACCTCTATGGACCTTTCTTCAGTTATCCATTTATTTTTACCGTACCCAAAGTATTCTTTTTTGGATATGCTTGGTATCTTCTGGAACCCTCAGCTCATTCTACTGTGTTTACCTGAAAATAAGACCGTCTTATATTTTTGTTTTGAACCCTGAAATAAGTGTTTGGCCTTATTGCCATGTGCTCAAAAGCCCAATTGGGCTTATTATCAGGGGATGTCTTATTTTGGGGGAAACAGGGTATAGTTTCAGGAGACAGCATTGTATTCTTTTATTATGTTCTCCTTTCATTGTCCATACATGCCCTGTTTCCCCTTCATCATTCAGAGGGCTCTGAACATATCCATGAAGGCCTCTTTAGAATTGTTCCATTTTGCCTTCTTTGGGGAACAAGGACAATCTGACGATAAGTGGGTTACTGGAGCAAACCATACATAGATAAGATGACCTGGAATTGATAGAATGTATGTAAAGAAATAAAAATGGAGCAACACCATCCTTGCAAGGTCTCATGGGATATTCTTTTATTATGATAAAAGCCAGAGAGTAAAATTGTAAATATGCTGAGCCTCCAATATTAATTAGAGAGTTGGATTCTATACTACAGCTGTCTTATTTTATACCATGACACCTGTACAAAGGTCAGGAGTAATAACATGTTTGGTTTGACAGCCTTCCCCTTCCAAAGTAAGGAACCACACTTAAGTTCCATTTTTTCCCCAGTTATCCTGATCTTCACAAAAGTACAGATAGTAATCTGTAAATTACATGGAATAAAGAAACTTTGTCCAGTTGCAATTGTAGGAAAGGGTTCTAATTCAATGATAGCAAGCATAAAGAACTTCTGAAGCTCAGTCCTCAGGTATGGCATGAAACCCTGCGGATGTTGCTAATCTATTTAAACATTAGAAAGTAATAAAGACCAATGGCCTGATCACCCATGTTCTGCTGGGCAGTCTGATTCTCCCATTCAAACATGTGATTTCAAAAGATGAACAAAGAAACAATACCAAGACTTAAACTTTAAAAGCACAAAATATTTTATTAAAAATGTACATATCTTACAATAATGTGGCTGGCAACATTTCTGCACCAAAAGTTAGTGTGTTCCATTATTTTCAGACAAATATCTGTCAACATCCTCTCCCCAAAATGCCTGTATGCATGAATAAGCCTGCACATTTCAAAATGTGTCTGCCCCAGAAGAGTCTGAACTCCCATGAACTGAACTGAAACTCAGAGTTTTGTCCTCTATATCAGCAGATGGCACCTTCACTGATACTTTACCTGGTGCAGGAAGGGGGCTTAAATGGGGTGTGACCTCTGTCCCTGAAACAGAAAGAACATTTAGTCATTTGCAGGTCAAGTCGCCCAGCTACAAACTGAAAAATGTCATCTGACTGTACTGTCTTCATTTTAGAAAACACTAAGCTCCTGAATGCTTGTCCACTGCCAAAAAATCATGAGACTATTTTGCAGAGGGAACTAAAATCGTGATTCAGATTTTCCTAGATACATTAACATCTGGTAGCAGTGTACAATATTAATAACACTTCAAATGGCTATTTTTTTCTTCTAAAAAGTAGGAAAATCTTTCCAAATACAAAACTGAAAATATTAGATGGTTTAAATTCAGTAATGTAGATTATTAACATAATTACTATAATAGCTAAAACTGAGACAAAGACTTATTTACAGACTGTATCTTGGCAGCTTTATTCAGCCAATGAATTTTTATTTTTTCAGTCTGTTAAAATAATGGTTTCCAATTATGTTCCAGTCTGCAAATTTAAACCACAGATTTCAGGAACAATGTAGGAATGAATACATGTTTAAAGTTTATTTAATAGCCTTTTGGCCTTAATACTGGCTACACAAGAACAATTTTACCACTGTACTGAAAACAGATCATTTTCTCTCTCTTTTTTTGGCTCAATATAGCAGATGCTTAGCTAACTTTGTCTGAAACTGTACCTAGAAGTAAACACAGAGCAGGAAATCATTGTTATACTATGACATCCAATGATTGGATGTAAGCTTGGCTAATACAAGGCTCATGGTTGTAGATTATATATTTAGGAACCTGAAAATGTGGGTTGTGTTCCAGGATCAGGCTTTGGATTGGTTTGCATTATTTTCAAGGCAAGCAAAATTATAATCTTCCTTTCTCTGCAAATTACATTTTCTCTTCAATTCTAAAGGATTGAAAACTCTTTCCTCTTTCCTCACTTAATTAACTAGCATGACTATGCAATGGCAGAAGATTTATGTAATCTGTTCCAAGTTGTGCCTCAGAGACTAATAATTAGCTGATCAAAACTGACATGAAAGCTTTTCTTTCAATGTTGTATTCCAGAGGATGGGTGTTAGTTTCTGAAGTCTTCACCTGGACTGCCCATAATAGGGCCTGGTGGCTCAGCAGACTAATAGCATTGTGATTAACACCAGCTGTCTGCAATTACTGTAAGTCTGAATCTCACCAGCCTCAAGGTTCAAGGTTGACTCAGCCTTCCATCCTTTCTAAGGTAGGTAAATTGAGGATCCAGTTTGTGGGAGCAATAAGCTGACTTTGTATAAATATACAAAAGTATGAAGGCTATTGCTTAACGCCTTGTAAGCCGCCCTGAGTCTCTGGAGAAGGGCGGCATATAAATCAAATTTTAAAAAAAATGCCTCCAAAAGATCTACCTCCAGCCAATCTTGTTGAGAGTTAAAAGTCTCAAAAAAGCCAAGTTCTTTATTACACATTGGGGTGCTATTCTGCATCCTATTCTCATGTAAAATATTAGAACAGCATGGGTCAATCTTTTATTTTTGCTATTGAGGGATACTGTCATCTCGGGCATAATCTGCTGGATGTAACACGGTGTGTATAACTGAAGGAAGTTAAAACATCTCTCTTCAAGCCTCCTTGCTTCTCTTTCATAGACTTCTATTTTCTCCTCATTCTCATTTTGACACAAGTTGCAGAAAAGGAACAGCTTTTATCATCAGTCATTCAACTGTTTTCTTCTAGAGAACTTGTGTTTCCCCGAAAATAAGACCTTGTCTTATATTTTTTTGAACCCTGAAATAAGCACTTGGCCTTATTTTCGGGGAGGTCTTATTATTTTGGGGCGTGTGAAGCAAGATGGGGCTCCTTTTGCCATCTTACCTGATTTCCAGCTCTGCGTTTAAATATTTTTGGGGAGGGCTTATTTTTTTGGGGAAGCTTATTTTAGTGCATGCTCTCAAAAGCCCGATTGGGTTTATTATCAGGGGATGTCTTATTTTTGGGGAAGCAGGGTAGACTGTGGATTGCATACTGCCACCAGACATACGTAGTGAGTTTACATGCAAATGAATACCAACATGATCAAGAGCCTTGGTACTACAGTGGTTTAAAGCACCCTGTTATTAACACAGCTGCCTGCAAATTACTGCTGGTTCGAATCTCTCCAAGGCTCAAGGTTGATTCAGCCTTCCATCCTTTCTAAGGTAGGTTAAATGAGGACCCAGTTTGTGGGGGCAATAAGCTGACTTTGTATAAAATATACAAAAGTATGAAGGCTATTGCTGAATGCACTGTAAGCCGCCCTGAGTCTCCGGAGAAGGGCGGCATATAAATCAAATTAAAAAAAAAAAAAACTTTTTTCCTAATATTTTGAAAAGAGCAGAGGTTGAGACAAAAAATGTTTATGTTTCCAGGGTCAATATTACACATTAAATGTTTCTTTTCAGCAATATTAATATACCACAAAGAGCTCCCACTGCTTTTCAATACTGTGAAATCTGTGCAATGGTCTCACTGTGCAAGGAACCAAATTCCACTGGATGTACATTATATGATTTTACTATGCAAACTATACAAAAGATGTATAGATTTCCATCACATGTACGGTATCACAAAACAGATATAAGTTACATCAATGATGTATTCTCTGATTTTTCAAACTACAATGACCCCCCACCCCCCTGGAAGTTTATTAACTTTCACTGCATACATTTTCAGAACAATCATACAAATTTTCTAATTGCAAGAGAATATTGCAATGCTTAAGTGGGCAAATATCTTTATTTCACTGAATATCTACAGCTGTATTCCAAAATCTGATTTATTTCAATGTTCTTTGTGGTTTGTGCCCTTTTCTTTCAAGACTGAGTGACAGATGCTAGATGCTGGTGAAGCCTAAAAGAATATTCAAATGTCATAATGCAAATGCAACTATATGTTTTATAAACATGGTCTTTAAAGCAATGCTGCCAGAAGGGTTAATAAATTGTGTCTATCCTCAATGGCATTCTTTATAGCAATCACCCAGTCTAACAACTTAAAGGCTGTTCATTTAAACAAAAAACAAAAGCTAAGAAAAAAATGCTTATTTGACCGCAAGCAAATATAGAGAGTCCAGCCAGATGTTGAAACTGCTATAAACCATATGTAAGCATTAAGCCTAAAAATTTAAAAACATATTTTATATCGATATATTTTCAAGTGTGGCCTGAGAGTCCTGTGCTTCCTATAAACCTTAGCAAGTCTTTCTCATAGGTAAGGGTAAGCAATATTGAGGTTTAAGAGCCCCATTTGATAATTTGAATGACATTATGGTGTCATGCAATGATGATAGTATTGCCATAAAAAGGATGGGTCCAACAAAAAAAATTGACATAATTAAAATGTAAAGTTCAATAAAATTATACAAAATAAAATATCCTTCTGTTAAAATTGTACACTGATGGCAACTTCTGGAGAGGCATTGAGAGGCTGCATTTGGCTCTACTATGTGTAACTATAGAGGGTATATCTCTACTCAGAAAGAAAATAAGTACCGGTAGGTAAGAGAACATAGGATCCAAGGATATTTGATAACAAAAATGCCTGCTGGATATGAACAGCAGTGAAAAAAACCTTCAAATCTTAGTGGAGTTAACTCATCACACTATTGTATTACTTTGACTCTGGTTTAATAAGCTAGGTGAATCTAATCTTGATGACTTGTAAATGTGTTTTG